TTATTTCCGGTGCCAGTTTTTATTCGGATTGGAACATCTGAAACACTTTGCCGATAGGAATACTACTCGTAATAATTTGGAAAATAAAAAACCGCCTCCCACATAAATCCTGGAGAGTGGGGTAATTTGATGAAATATCAGTTAAAATTTTAGAAAATCTCCCAGAATTTCCGGTCTATATCATTGCTTTCGACAATCTCAAAAATAATTGAAAAACTGGTTGAAAAGAGAATGCTTATATCATTGCTTATAATCATAGCATACTACACGAATCTCAATATGGATTCCAAAGCCATCTTCTCTTTTCTGGAAGATGTATACAGGGTGTAACATAAGTACGTTGAAATATTCAAGTGACGTATTCCTGAGACAATTTCATGAAAAAAAGTCTATATGAACTTGATGCTTCGTTTCGGAGATACGGGGTGTTAAAATTGATTTTTTTTCTTCGCTTTTTGAAAATTACTCTTGCAAAAAATAAGTTATTTGCACGAAATTCGTAACGAGGTAAATTTTTTAAATCAGATTATCCTGTTTAAGACCACGTTTGGTATTCGGTTTGTACGAAAAATAAAAATAAAATTTGGTTGAGGCCTTCCCAGAGTTTTAATAATGGAAAATTTATTATCATAAGATAAAGCCATGAAATTATTTGTCAGCAACCAATGGACTATATTGTCAGATTTTTTAATTTCGTCCAACTTATCCATAATAAATGAAAAAAAACTTACCGAAAAGTGAAAACATGAAAACACATTGCAATTGAAAGAACATACTCTAAAAACACATTAAAAATATTACCAAAAAGCACTGCTATAATACAATACTGCCTGTTTTATATACAAATAACAAGTATTATCACGGCATCCCGTCCGAATAATTGAATAAAGAACAAACGCAGTTGTACACTAACGGAGACCAACTGGAGGCTAGCCTCATCTAACGCTACAATTTCTGCAACTAAAATTGCAAATCGGGACGTATGTCTAAGACTGGATCGGTCTCGCATGTATATTTGACCACAAATTAGAAAACTACTATGTGATCAACAGTTTGATCAAAAATTAAGTAATGTTCAATTGGCTGCGTGGATTTCTTTTGAAAGAATTGTTTCGGAGTTTTTAGGGAACAAAAAGTAGAAAATTACGAAACACTTGTAGACGATTTACTTGAAAACTACTGCTTAATGGGATGTCGCATGTTTCTCAAAATCCATTTCTTGCACTCTCATTTGAATTTTTCCCCAGAAAATTTGGGTGCTGTCAGTGACGAACAAGGGAAAAGGTTCCACCAAGACATACTGACAATGGAGCAACGTTACCAAGGCAGATGGGATGCAGCAATGATGGGGGATTATTGTTGGTTCCTTATGAGAGTAAACGATGAAACATATGAACGAAAGTCAACATTTGCAAAAAGGTTATGCACAAATGACTTCATTTGAATGTTTTTTCATGTGTATTGTGAATAAAGTCTGTTATCCTCAAAATATATTGTTTTTTTCTTGTTTTGATCTTATATTATATGAAAACTTATTATGTGGAAATTTTTATATAAAATAAACTATAACTCAAAACGTGATGGAAAATTTTTGAAGTTGAAGTCGCAGTCAGAATGCTTTAAACTCTCATGTATAGCCATTATACTATTAGTCCCATTTTTTTTATTTGTTGGCTAGTGTAATTTATCAATGCTGTTGCCACAGCATTACCGCTTAACCAGAGAGGAAGGATTCAATATAGTGAATATTCAAAATTCCGATATGGGTTGATTTCCAAGGATTTCAAAAGATTGGGTTGAACCCATACCTCTTTACCAAAAAATGGTTTGCGAATTTCTAATTGATCTCAAATTAAAGTAACTACCCCTATGTTCATTTACTCTTTGTGAAAAAGTTCTCCCCGATTGACCAACATAAGGTTTTGGGCAAGATTTGAAAAACTTGACCAACCGCCTAGCTGTGTTGAGGTTTTGTTAACTGTCTACTGAAAATGTCATAGTAAAGTGTCTCTTCAATACTTGAAATAAGTATTTTCATCAAATTTCGGCCAATTTCATACTATAGTTCTAGCGCAGATACAAAAATACAATCCTGACTTTCTTAGCAATTATATAAAGCATAATTTTTTCTTATGAACAGGTCCAGGCCCGATATGACATACCAATTGCACGCAAATTTGTACACGGGAAGAAGATATTTGAATCCACTATTTTCATTTAGGTTGATAAAATAATTCAAGATTCCGGAACTATCTTCCGGATTGTAAAGAATTCACAAAAAGCCTCACCTTACAGTTCCTCTTCAAAATTTTCCAGACACGTTATATACACACTAACCTCGGTTTTTACATCGAAGATAATAAACTGAATTATCGACAAGGTGTGTTAGTTAGTCAACCGAATCCTTATCAGTTTCTAGCAAATACAACTATCTTCTTATCTTCACGGAATTATCTTCATATTATTTAGCGGATTCATATATGGTATATCTCATCAAATCCATCAGATATCGATAGAAGTTTTGAAAAAATATTATTTTGATTGTTGAGATCCTCCTGGACGTTTAAAAAAAAAAAGGAGATCAAAGAGGTAGTTTCTTTTGTTACAGCAGTTTAGTTGAACATCAGAGAAATTACAGAGAAATTACACAGGCCAACGATGAAAAAATTTTTTCACTTAAAAAACCTTATTACTCTGTTTTTTGAAGTGCTAAATCCAAATATGACACTCATTAAGCCGTATCATCTACCATTTTTTCACATTTGCACATCAATATTTTAAATTTTTTGATTTATTACAGATTTTAACACCTTTTATATACTATAAATGCTTCTAGCCTACAGAATGCACTCTCAAATGACCACCATAAATGGCGACAAAGCCGCCAACCTCCAGGAGAGTGCTGTGATTCTTATGGAAACTCACTTCTCAGGTTCTGTCTTTCCTGGAACGACGAACTGGACGGATGTACCAACAACACCCTCACAATACGTCTACTAGTGCAGTAATTGATGAGGACAAAATAAGATGGGCTATATCGGGCTTTTCCCCCTTCAAGTCACCAGGACCTGACGGTATAAGACCAGCCCTACTTCAGTGGGGACTGGACACTCTTATGTCTCTAAAAATTATATCAAATACAGCGACTGGCTTGTTTAAACATCACAGGAGCCATGAGAACAACACCAACCGCGGCAATGGAATTAATCATGGGTCTGACCCCTCTGTGTGAATGGGACAGTAGAGCAAGGGACCAACATTGGTGCCGAAAGAACTGGCCTGTGAGGAGTCTTTAAAACCCAAGGAGAAGAACATTCTCCGCAAAAACCTTATAGATCCTAAAAACATTCTCTTACCACCTCTACGTATAAAGTCAGGCCTCATGAAACAGTTTGTAAAGGAACTGCCTAAAGATGGACCTTGTTGCAAGTACCTCTGTCAGAAATTTCCAAACCTTTCAGAGGCTAAATTTAAAGAAGGCGTCTTTGTAGGACCCGACATTCGAAAAATGATGTTCGACGTAAACTTTAAAACCACAATGACCATATATGAGAAAAAAGCATGGCTATCATTCAAGCAAGTTGTTACAAAATTCTTAGGAAATGCAAAAGACCCAGAATATCGTACCATTGTAGCTAACATGTGAAAGACTTTTAAGAAATTAGGATGTTTGATGAGCCTGAAAGTCCACTTTTTGAACAGTCATCTTGATTACTTCCCGGAAAATTTGGGAGATGTTAGTGAGGAGCAGGGTGAGCGTTTTCACCAAGATATTCAATTGATGGAAAAACGTTACCAGGGCTGCTGGAAAATTAACATGTTGGGAGAGATTATTTTTCCTGCCACAGATAATCCCAACCCCCCCATTTACCAAAGGGTTGGGATAAAATGTCAGTGTGAGTATGAATTTTAATTGTATTATCTTCCAAACTATTGCAACCGTACCTACAAAGCAAGCGTGAGGTTAAGTGTGAGGTTGAGTTTAATTGAAAAACATCGACATATACTGTAAATATGGCCATATTTTCGTTATGAAAACTTCTTCAACTAAATACATTGTTTTTTGTTTCAGATCATTGCGCCGCGTTATATTTCAAAGGGTTTGCGAGGAAATTGGAGTGAGGTTAATATGTCCTTAGCTATATCAGCTGTACAGAGTGGCCAAATGAAAGTTTATTCAGCTCCTAAAACGGTTTTATTGAAAAAAAGATGATGATGTAGATAATGTACTGTGAACTAAAAAACGATTCGGAAGGTCCTAGGTAGCAGTCATCACACCACTCTCCTCAGTAATCTACGGTATTGATCAGATGAAAACATAATAATTTCATTCAAATCATGGGTTCTCGTCTAATTATTTTGTTTTCGCACAAGTTATGATGAAGAAAGCTTCAACTATAATTCCTGGGGAACAAATTGATGATGAAATTGGGATATTAGGAAAACTGTGTGCTATCTCCGCACACATACCGAGTATATTTTTACAGAATAGATGGTAATTGCCAGAAAATTATATCGTGGGAGCAAATATCACAATAAAATGTAAAAACCCCAATCAATTTGATTAATCATATTTTTAGCCATCTTCTCCTAAATACTATAATCACCCCCTTTAGCGACGCTCTTGAAAATACTCCTGAAATAAAACAAATTTTGATTCCTTGATAGTTGTATCACCCTCGTATAATATTTCGTCTCATCAACTGTTAAACTGTTACTTGACCAACTCGTCCATTCCAACAATGGAAAGAATTACCTTCGCCTTCATTGCTATTTTATTGAATTTTCACCGAAAATGTGTACCTAATCGAGACACCATTATGAAAGTATGCAATTGCATTTTCATCATAGATATATTCTTTCTATTTCATTATTTTATACTGTTATATTCTGAAGCAACACCCGCAAGAGTTTTTATTTTGACTAGCGCGGTATCTTTCGTCACGAACAAAACACTGTTCACTGCGCCATCTTCTCAAGCCGCGGCAGTTGAGGTTCGAATGGAGTGTTGAAATTTGAGGAATTATGGAGAAATTGAAAGAGATTGAAAGTGATAAAGTGTTGGAAGTCATTAGGGAATATTTCACGGACGAAGAATGGAAAGATTTGCCGGAAGCCTTGAGGTCTCGATATTTAACCACGACAAGAAATTATCTGGATGACTCTTTAGGGGGAGGTAAACCAGTTTGAATATTCTTTTTTGTTCAGTATTACGGACTGATTGTTTTATTTTGATCATGTTACGGAATCTTTTCTACATTTTCGAAGTTTAAAGGAACATAGAATTTGAAACAGGTGGGTATTTATTCAAATGTCATTTTCAGTCATATACGAATATTTTCCTATGGATGATATGATTATGTTTTTTTTTAAGAAGTTGTTCACCGTTTAAAGCAATAGTTAATGGATGTTTAGGTAAAATTAATGCATGAAAAAGTCGTTTTTGACTCGAGGGCTCTCAGGACCGGCTTAATGGTTTTTGATGTGCAGCTTGAGAATATAAAAATACTTGGTGGTAAAATAATCAGTATCTATAAGAGTATCTTGCGTGGTTGTGATAACGAGGTTAGAAAATTAATATGAAATCAGGAAAAAATAAAAACAGCATTTTTTTTTCAAAAAAGTGCATTATGGTGGTCTTCAAGATTATTTTTTTTCTGTAAATTCGGAGAATTTCAAAATACAGGGTGTTCAAAAAAATTGAAATTGATTACCAGAATTCATTAAATATTTATTGAATACCATTTCTCATTGAACTGTACATTTCATCTGATAGGATGAAGTACTTACTAATTTTCAGTAAATAAATTGACATTTCACCATCATTCATTGGCGTTCAATAGGAGAAGTCGTTCCCTTCTAAAGGCTATAAAAACAGAAATTCGCTGAGAAATCACTTTCCAATTTATCATTCTTCTCCAGCTGTATTCAAATAACAAAAATTATATAATTCTCGGAATATGGGATCTGTTCAAAAAAATAACGTGAATTTTCATTTTTCCCAAAAAAGATTCATTCATTTATCAACTGCTATTTTGTCACCTCCAAAGTAGTCCCTTTCAAATATAATTCAGTTTTTATCTCCTCTATCGTCGCAAAACGCCATCCTTTCATGTGTCTTTTCAATCTCGGTAACAGGAAAAAGTCGCAGAGGGACACATCTGGTGAATATGGTGGCTGAGACATGATTACGGTGTTGTTCTTGGCAAAATAATACCAACAAGCAATAACGAGTGAGCAAGTGCATTATCGTGATGCGAAAGTTAAGAATTGTTTTTCCACAATAGCTGCATCTCACCTCCACTTCACGGGTCGACATGAATCACTATGTTGGTTGTGCCCCTTAAAACGGTGTCAGATCAGGTGATCTTATAGTTCACTTAGTTTTATTCGATTGTTTCTAAATATTCTGGCGATATCTTGAGTTTATTGGAGCATCTGTAGATACCCTAAAATTTATTCTATAGAAGAGAGGACATTGACATATCAAGATCTTCAGATCATGTGGTGTTGCAGGTTTTTCCGGGTTTTCTTGCAGCTGAAGAAGAAAATGCGCCACTGGAATCAATAAAGTCGCCCCGGCGTGCCAATTAATTTTTGCTGTTTCATAATTTCATGATTTGTATTACTTTTCTTCATATGTTTCTATAATAAAAAAATTAAATACAAACATCAAAGAAAATTCCTGCAAAGGAATAGTTGTTTTCTGATAGGCGTCAGTCCATTCAACCTTCTGTGTAGGTTTAAAGTTTATTTCTTTAGATTTGCTTACTACCTGTCTTCAAGCATAGCCCACTGACTAATAAGAAAGTTTTTCTTCCTTATTGAGAGGAATCGGGCAAATTTCGGATATGCAGTTGGTTAGTACTTCGCCCACTAGATGGAGTGACATTTTGTGATGTTCGCTACAACTTAGGAAGAGGAATGAAATACACTGAAAGAATTCCAATTTTCAATTATGGAATATCATTGACTTTAGGTCGATGATGGCCACTATTTAGCACTGACGAGTGGCTAATGAGTCCTTAACCGGTCTGCAACTGTGCCCGTTCCAAAATTCAGGGTCGACTTTTTCAGTTGCATTGCCAATTGCATATGCATAACATTTTCTATTAAGATTCCTGCACTGACGCCTGTTGGATATAATTCAACGCCGTTCGTGGTATTAGCCAGGGGAGTAGTTGTTTTCTGATTTTATGGTGATGTTAAAAATACCTTTTTGTCAGCCTGAACTGAAATCAGTTTTTTTCTGAAGTTTCGTTTTTTTATTTGCAGATATCCACTAATTTTCTTTTTATTTTTTTATTATAATTTGCTGAACAATATCACAGATGAATCAAGAGGTTGGAAAATCAATTGTGTGGATATCAATAACTCTTTCATTAACGTTTTTCTCAATTTGTACCGTTGTTTATCGTCCAGTGAGTAATAAAAATAATTTTTAGCGTTCCTCCTTCCTATGCCCGACTTTATGAGGAACAAGAAAAAGTTATCAGAAAAGAAAGCAGCTGTTTTGGATAACACTAAAGTCGTGAAACCTGCATCTGCGGCCCCCAAGAGAGAAAAAAACAATACTGTTTTGACTGGTAAGGGTTTTATGAATTGACGATTCAAATGATAGTGTGGGTCACAAAATCCTTTTTGTGGAACTTCTGTCCAAGGGCACCGAAAATTATGATCCAGGGTTCATTCGGTTCGGAATGACCTCTAGCAAATATTAAAGATATCCGAATTTTGAAAAAAGATCGTCAAAGAGGAGGAAATTTCTTAGAAAAGTCCCACTTCCCGAAACTCTGACCTTTGAACAATAAGAAT